CTTTCACTATAAAATCAGGAGCAAGATAAATGATGTCCACAATCATCACTCCTGTTCAACACAGTTCAGGAAACATTAGCCAGAGCAGTTAGATAAGAAAAGGAAATAAAAGGAATAAAGATAAGAAAGGAAGAAGTTAAATTATCATTATTTGCAGGTTACTGTGGACCCCTGAAACATTACTGGAAACCTCTGCAGTAGGCTCCAGTCTCCTGCCCAGTATATGCTGCAGGCCTGAGGAAAAAAGCTAAAAGACCAGAACTAAGAGAGAAAGCCGGGTGCCAGGACGACCAATGCTGATAAAGGCACTGGCCAGTCCAAGCCACTGATTTTTATTGGTGATCAGTTGGAATAAAGGCGAGCCATGTGCAAGGGCAGCATGTGCAAGGATGCATAATTGTGTGGTTTCTATGGAAATGAATGTAAGTAAAACTCCTAAAAGACAAGGCAAAGCAATCTTGAATTAAGAACAGATAAGATAGACAAAATATATGGGTGTAATGAAAATATTTTCCTTCTAGTAACAAGGTTTTTTTTTTTAATTTTATTGAGTTTATTGGTACATTTTAGGGATACAGTGCAGTTACATTCATTGTTGGGATCATGTACCTCTACATGGCAAGTCTTGATTCTCATTTTTTCCCCTTACCTCTGCCCTCCCTTCACCCCCTCCTCCCCTCCCCATCTACAAACACTTTATTTTCATCTTTTCATTCTCTCACATTTTTTTCTTTTCCCTTTTTGTTCTTCCCCTACGTATCACACCTTCCCTACACCTTTAGCTCCTTTCCTCCCATTTCTAAATGTCAGTAATCTTATTAGAATCTTATGCATTGTTGCAGAATATTCACACCAGGGAAACTATTTGGTATTTACACATGTGGGACTTATTTATTTCACTTAGGAGTATATCTTCAATATGTATCCATTTTCCTATGAATGAATCTATTCTCTCGCTCTTTATGGCTGAGTAATATTCCATTTTATAGAAAAACCACAACTTCTTTATCCAGTTTCCAACGGATGGGCAAATAGGTTGTTTCCAAGATTTAGCTATTACAAACTGTGCCGCTATAAACATGGGTGCACATACTTCTCTGTGATATGATTCTTTTAGTTCTCTTGGAAAGATACCCAACAGAGGGATGGCTGGGTCAAATGGAACCTCCAGTCCAAGCTCTTTGAGGTATCTCCATATTGATTTCCATAGTGGTTGCACTAGTCTGCACTCCCACCAACAATGGAGGAGGGTTCCTTTCTCCCCACAACCCCGCCAACATTTGTTATTGTGTGATTTCTTGATAGCAGCCATTCTTTGTGGGGTGAGGTGGAATCTCAGTGTTGTTTTCATCTGCATCTCTCGAATGACCAGTGATGTGGAACATTTTTTCATATATTTTCTTGCTGCTTTCACTTCTTTGTATGAGAAATGTCTGTTCATTTCGGATGCCCATTTTTGGATCGGGTCTTTATATTTGGGGGGACTGATTGTTTTGAGTTCTTTATATATCCTTGATAATAGTCCTTTGTCTGAGGTACAGCTGGTAAAAATTTTTTCCCACATTGTAGATTGTCTCTTAGTTCTGCTAATGGTTTCTTTTGAAGTACAGAAGCTTTTTAGTAAGATGAGATCCCAGTTGTTGATTCTTTCTGCTAGTTCCCGTGCTACTGAGGATTTGTTCATAAAGTCTTTTCCTATACCAATGTCTTCCAGAGTTCTGCCTAACTTACTTTCCAGCAAGTTTAATGTTTCTGTTTTAATATTTAGATCTTTAATCCATTTGGATTTTAATTTAGTGCATGGCGAAAGATAAGGGTCTAATTTTAATCTGTGACAGGTTGATATCCAGTTTTTCCAACACCATTTATTAAAGAGGCTATCTTTCCTCCACTGAGGATGGTGAGCTCCTTTGTCGAAGATGAGGTAGCTGAGTACATCTGCATTTGTTTTTGTGTCTTCCAGTCTGTTCCATTGATCCTCAGGCCTATTTCTTTGCCAGTACCATGCTGATTTTATCACAGTGGCTTTGTAGTATAGTTTCAAATTGGGAATTGTTACACCTGGTGCCATGTGACTGTTGCCTATAATGGCTTTTGCTATTCTAGGTCTCTTGTGGTTCCAAATGAATTTTTGGATTCTTTTTTCTAGTTCTGTGAAATATAGTGTTGGAATTTCAATTGGCATTGCATTGAATGTATATAGCAGTTTTGGTAGTATGGCCATTTTCACTATGTTGATTCTTCCTACCCAGGAGCAGGGGATATCTTTCCATTTTTTTATATCCTCTTCGATTTCTTTTTTCAGAGTGCTGTAGTTTTCAGTGTAGAGATCTTTTGTTTCTTTTGTTAGATTGATTCCTAGATACTTCATTTTTTTGGATGCTATTGTAAAAGGAATTTTTTCCCTTATTTCTCTTTCCGTCTGTCTGTTATTTGTGTATAGAAAGGCTATTGATTTTTGGGTATTCACCTTGTATCCAGATACTTTACTGAATCTGTCAATTAAGTCTAGAAGTTTTTTGGTGGAGTTTTTTGGATCTTCAATGTAGAGTATCATATCATCAGCAAATAATGATAGTTTAACTTCTTCCTTTCCTATCTTTATTGCTTTAATTTCTTTCTCTTGTCTGACTGCTGTTCTAGTAACAAGGTTTTAATTGTGGGAATGGAATTTGGGTTTGAGTTACTCTGACCTTAGCACATAGGCTTCTGGACTCAACTTCTAAAAACAAGCCAGTGGTGGGGTTAACTCTACAGCATATAGCCTGATTTATAATCAGTTGTAGTAGATGAGGTGATTCTCTACATAGACCCCAAAAACTCTCCCAAAAAACTTCTAGATTTAATGACCAAATTCAGTAGCAAAGCTGGATACAAAGTCAACACTCATTAATTTCAATAGCATTCTTGTACACAAATAACAAACTCACTGATAAAGAAATTAGGGAAACAACACCTTGCACAATAGTATTGAAAAAAATGAAATACTTAGGAATCAATCTAACAAAGGAAATAAAGGACCCATACATTGAAAAGTGTAGTACTCTGAAAAAGATTGAAACGGATATCAGAAAATGAAAAGATATCCCTAATTCTTAGGTAGGAAGAACCAACAGAGTGAAAATAGTCATACTTCCAAAATTGTTATACAGATTTAATGCAATCCTAATAAAAATAAAATCATCATAACTCACAAAAATGGAGAAAATATCCCTAAAACTCATCTGGAACCAGAAGCAATCTAGAATAGCAAAAATAGTTTTAAGCGACAAAAACTAGGCAGGGAGCATCACAATTCCTGACTTGAAATTATATAGCAGAGTCCTGTGATAAAAACAGCATGGTACTGGCAAAAACAAACAAACAAACAAAAAACACCAGACCTAAAGATCAATGGAACAAACTAGAAGAGTTAGAAACAACACCACCTGTGATCTTTTACAAAGGGGCCAAGCATGTTCACTGGAAGAAATACAGCCTTTTTGATAAATTGGCACTGGAAAAACTGGCTTTCTACATACTGAAGACTAAAACTAGACCAGTGTCTCTTACCATGCACTAGACTAAAATTAAAATGGTTCTAAGATCTAAATATTAAAACAGGGCTGGGGATTTAGCTCAGTGGCACATGCCTGCTGCACAAGGTCCTGAGTTCGAGCCCCAGTAGCAAAAAAAAAAAAAAAAGTGGGGTGATAAATATTAAAACAGAAACTCTAGTAGTATGGTTTTAAAATTGACTCTTACTTAAAATACAGTGTTGATTAGCTTTTCATGTTTTGTAAAGTATAGCTAAGCACCTTTCTTAAATCATACCCATATTTAAGCTCTGATGAAAATAGTTATAGTTGGGTAGTTTTACATGTTGTATTAGTAGTCTCAATTCCCCCATAGTAGGTATTACTGATAGGTGAAATGATTTATAGAGATCACAAGGAATGCTTTAATTTTTTTCAGTGATCATTTAGACTAGAGTCAGTTTATGCTGTTTTGGATGTATCTGCTGCTCTTTTTTTTTTTCTAATTATGTTTCTTGTCATTGCATGTCTGCCATTATGGTATTTTGTTTTGAGATGAGGTCTTGTCTTGCTATGTTGCACAGGCTGTTCTCCCAACTTAAAGGCTCATGTGATCTTCCTGCATCAGGTTCCTTAATTGTTGGGACTATGGGAGTAGGCCTAGCTGAGATTATTAATTTAGTGGTAGTGAAACACATGGAAAAATACTACTAAAAAGAGGTATAGATAGTGTGCTATGAGGAATGTGGAGGAAGGATTAATTATAACTGGAATGCTAAAGGAAGATCACAGAATTGGTCTTCTAAAGTGTAGAAAGGATTTTAATAGAAAAAAATAGAAAATCAGAAATGAATAGCATGTACCAAAGTACAAAATACTGTGTATTAAAGTTCACAATACAGAGTACAGGAAGTTATTGGTGCAAATTACAATACTGAATGTACAGAATTATGAAGAGTAATATGGGCAAATAGTATGAAAGAGATGAGAGTAAGCATGAAAGACAGTGATATTTATAGTTTCTTTTCTTTAGCCCCTGATTTTAATGTTACAAGTAGAAAGGCTGAAAGAGGTCTAAGTACTAGAAAAGTAAGTAAATAATAGAGCAGTTTAATAAATGGGACAAGAGTATAAAGTTTCCAGTAGCACTGACTTTCACTCAGTGACGGAGTATAATTGCTGGCTTTGTCAAGGAGAGGGTTCATCATACAAAAAAGGCATGAAGTGAATTTCCTGATTAAATATTTCTAGTATATTGACAGCTAGTAGAAACCTATATTTTACCAGTAGTACATTTATGTTTTTTGCTTTGGAATAATTTTTAAGGTTTTTTTTTTTTTTTAGTTACAAGTCTATTACTTACTAATTTTAACTTTGTACTATTCTATTCCCATTATTGAAAATCTTCTTATCCAAATGACTCATTTCACTACTAGTTTTTGGTGGTAATATTGTATATTAAGGAATTTATCTGAACTTTTTTAGATGCTGGAGACTCTAATAAAAGAGAACATACTCCAACAATGGGTGGGCTTGGAGTTGGAAAAGGTTTTGGAAACAAAGGTAATTACTTGCTTATGATATCTTAATCAAAACTTGAGTTGGCCCCAAGCTTTTTAGTCTTTGGGTTCATATTTCCCTTTAGTATACATGGAAAATGTGAACTTTTATCAAGAATTTATAAGGGTTACCTGGGAATGCTTTCACTCTTAGTCATAGTTTTTAGCAGTCTGTTGCTCTGGATGGGCTTGCTTTTTATTTTCTTGGTTCTGTTTTGATTTTGAAATACTCATGTTCCTTGATAGAATATCTTTAGATTGATTCACCCTACATAGGACCCCATGTTTGTTCTTTCTTTCAAGACTTCCTGTCTCTTCCCAAGAGATCTCTTTTACATTGCTATATGTGAATTTTAATACCCATCTTTGAAATTATATTTTTTCCTTAAGAACTTAAAAAATTCTTAAATCAAAACTTTGGTTAAGTTTAAGATCATGTTCAGTAATGTATCTGTGGAAGACTTTCCCAAGTGTTTTGGAAAGTAACTCTTGAGCAGATGAGGAAGATGCAACAGTATGGAGAGCAGTAGAATGTAGCTCTTTTCTCAAGCAACCTTAAAGGTTGCAAATATTTAAATGTATGAAACAATTCCAAACTTAGGTTTTGTGGTAACATTCTGTAGGAATTATGTTTATGTATTTTGAAATGTTGTATCTGATCAAATTTATCATTCAATAATATAGTAAGGCTATAGGATGCTTGCTTTTATAGTACACATATATGATAATTGGGCATTAAATTTTTGTGGAATTTTATTGCTAGAAAAGACCTTAGATTTTGTTAACCGTGAGATATTAAGTCACTTGAGATGTGCATGCATGCACACATAAACATTTTATTTATAAATTGAACACTGCCAAATGAAAATTGGTTAGTTCTTGTGTTAAAGAAGCACAAATGTTATAAATTTAAGCTTATATTTTGTGAGGGTTTTTTTTTTTTTTTTTTTTTTTTTTTTTTTGTCCTGGGGATCAACTTGGGACCTTGTGGTTGCAAGACAGGTGCTGGAACCACTGAGCTAAATCCCTGGCCCAAGATTTTTTTTTTTTTAGGTGGGCGTTTCCTTGGCTGGTTTTGAACTTGTAGACTCAAGCATTCCTACTGTCTCAGCCTTCCAGGTAGCTGGTATTTTAGGCATGTTCCACTACATCCAGCTCCCTGTGTATTTTTGTACTAAAGATAAGACTCAACTTTTATTTTGAGCCAAGGCCTTGCTGTATAGCTCAGGCTAGCCTCAATGTGAGATTCTTCTGTCTCAGCCTCCCTAGTGCTTGGAATATAGATATGAGCCAATATGCCCAGTTTAAGACTTGATATTTGAAATTTTAAAAATTTTATGGACAATTACTAAAGATTACTAAGGATTTCCATGTTACTGAGAAAGGAAAAATTTTTACACATTAGATTATAACTTAGTTACATTGTTCTTTGACAAATGAAGAGATTGAAAATTAATTTGTAAAATTAAAAAAATTTTGTTTTGTTTTTTTTCTGTGGTACTGGGGATCGAACTCCAGTCCTTGTGCTTGTGAGGCAGGCTCTGGAACCACTGAGCTAAATCCCCAGCCCTTAAAATTTAAAATTTTTGATATTTTAAATTAGAAAGTATATAGTGATTATACTGACATATTCCTGACTTGTCTGTGTATATATAGAAGAGTATAGGACATTTGAGGTAATGTAAAACTGAAAAGAAAGTTATTTTTAACCCTAAGAGAATGAGCCTGATAACTTGGCAGAAAGCTGAAATCTTAGCACAACTTGGATGAGTTTTCATTCAATATGTATACAGTTGCATGTGATTTATTTTATTTTAAATGGTACCATAACTATTTGGCCCTGAGTTTTTTAAATGCAGAGGCAGATTGTATTGTTTTTAAAAATATGAAAGTTTCATTTTATATTTTTGTACAGGTTTTTCAAATAAGTTTGAAGAAAGTGAAAACATTGGGTTCTTGAAAGGTAAGTTCAATGTTTTTGTAGTAACTTTAAAAAATGCAGAAAACTTACATAGTTTAGTTTAGTCTAATTCTAATTTATTTATATCCAATGTTATGAAGCAATTATATCTGAAGCCCTAGCAGGGATATTTTCTGACTTGTAGATGAATTCAGGCATCCTAATGTGGCCTCTTGACCCCTGCCTCAGTAATCTATGAGGTACAACTTTTGAATGCTGTGTTACTTTGAGAAAAAGGGCATAAGTAGAAGAAAGAGCAAATCAAGAAGAAAAATATATAAACTCAGTCCGGGACCATTTTCATTCTAAGAGAAAGATTCTTCTTCTTCTTTTTTATTTTTTAAATTTGGCTTTTGAGACCAGGTCATATTATAGGTAGCCCAGGCTGGCCTTGACATTTTTTTTTTTTTTGGTACTGGGGATTGAACTCAGGATCTTGTGCTTCTGAGGCAGGCAGTGGAATCACTGTGCTAAATCCCAGGCCCTGGCCTTGAACTTTTGATCCTTCTGTCTTAGCCTCTTGAGTGCTTGGAGTATAGACATGTGCCATTGCACTTGGCAAGAAAAATTCTTAAGAACTAGAAATATTTCTGTCATATGTACTAGCATTCTGTTTTGGAGTGATACAGAGAATGATGACAATAGAATAATATCATCAGGAGATAGACTGCAAAAGAAAAAAAAATCATTGCCAAATCCTTAGAACTTGCATTATAAAAGCATCCCTGGTGATTGTGCTACTCTTTGTTTGGTAACCATTGATCTGTGGGATCTTTATAATGCAATATGCTTTGGCTTTCCAGACTTTATGTCCCTGTGCTGCTTCCTTCTAATTGAATAAAAGTGGAACACATTGCTTAGTTTTTCTAGGCAGCAGTTACCTATTCTATAGGATGGAGAACATCCATTTTTAGATTTCAGACTACGTGAGAATTCACATAAAAGCCTAAAATGTAGTACTAAATACCTTTGTTAAATACTTCATAAACACCATCTGTCTGTCTTCAAATGTTTCAGTCTTGGGCTGGGGATATAGCTCTATGGTAGAGTGGTTGTCTAGCATGTACAAGGCCCTCGGTTAGATCCTTTATCACACACACACATAGACACATATACTTATTTGAGGCTTGATCTTACACTCTTTTCCATATCAAAACCCAAACTAGACTTGATCGCCTGCAGACTATTTTGAAATAAGGTTGAATTTTAATGTGTCATATAAGATATTTTCTCAAACTTTGCCAGTCTCATTCTTCTCTCTTTTTTCTCCTTTGTCATTGAAATGAAAACAAACATAACATAGAACTAGTTAAAAACATTTTTTTGTGTGTTTTGAGACAGGGTCCCCATTATGTAGTTAAGGCTGACTTTGAACTCACAATATAGCTCATGCTGGCCTTGAACTCTCAGTGCTTCTCCTGATATTTATGAGATGAAAATCAATCACCCTTTTAATTATTTTCCATTTCTCTTTAACTATTTCTGTTCTAATCCTCATGTTTAACTCAATATTCAAATCATTTCCACTTATCCAAAGACTTTCCACATATCACAGGTGTATTTGACAGTTTTTCATTAGTGGGATAAAATAACCAACACTTGCAACTTAAGGGAAGAGAGGCTTATTTTGGCTCACAGTTTCATAGCTGACTGCAAGGCAGAAACAGAATGGAGGAAGGGCACAGTGGAGGAAACCTATCAGCTGCCCCTATCAGCCAGGATGCAGAGAGAGAGAGAGAAGGGAGGACCCAGGGTCAAGAGAATATATCCTTCAGGCCATAACCCCAGTGACCTGCTTCTTCTACCACACCTCACCTCCTAACAGCATATTCTTCTGTGAACTCATCAGTGGACTAATCTGATAATTATGTTGTTCTCATGATCCAGTCACCTTCCAAAGCCCCAACTCTGAACACACCACACTGTGTGTGTGGGGAGTCATTTTGGATCTAAACCATAGTACCAGGTGACGTTTCCAGAGATGACAAAAGATATCATATGAATGCCAAAATTAGTTTGTCACAGCACTAAGTTAAAACTTTTCCTCAGAGTGGTCTGCTTTCTTTCTTTTGGTCTACTTTTTTGTTTTCATTCTTAGTTTCCCTAAAAGAAAAAACAACAACAACAACAAAAAACAATGTAGAGGTCAAATTCTTTGATTCTCAAGCCCCTGATGATGTTTTGAGAGATCATGGTAGAAGCTTTTGTTTACACAAAAATTGTGTTTGTGATTTTTTTTTCCTGTTTCTTTTTTCCCCCTGAGCTAGTATACTGTAGTAATAAGGAAATCAGGTTTTGGAATTGGACACCCTAGGTTTGAGACTTAGATTCTCCTCTTGGCAGTTGTGTTATGTTGAAGATATTTAACCTTTTTGTATTTCATTTTCCCTACTTATAAAATGAGGCTTATATCGACTTTATAAGAATTTTGTGGCGATTTAAAAGGTGACTACAGGACTGGAAATAAGGCTCTGGGTTTGATCCTAATCCCTAAAAACAAAAAGAAAAATGGATATGGTGACATCTTGTCACTCATGGGCTGGTGTCAGAGGACCACTAAGCTCAGGGTAGCTGGGCAACATAGACAGACCTGTCCAGAAAAGAAAAAAGTGTATTTAGAATAATGCCAAATGCATACTACATTGTGTATGTGTTACTATTTTTATATTGTATAATTAACCTTACCTGATAATGTGATCATTATCTTATTTCTCTTTGTGCTTGGCTTTATTTTCTAGCTCTGTAGAGATTATATTCTTTTTTTTATACAATAACTTTATTTTGAAATAGTTTGAAATAATTCATTTGACAAAAAGTGGTGCAGTTTTCGTGTACTTTTCACCCAATTTTTAACATCATTATTCTCTTTTTACTTCCCAGGGTGGTCAGAATAACTAGAGGTTTTAGGGAAATGATTGGTCAAAGATAATGTAAGACTACTTTGTCCTTGTCAGGTTCCAAGTTAATCAAAAGAATTTTTTTCTTGAATGCAATAGATGTTAACTATCATAATTTCAGGGCCAACTTTGAAAAATTATTTTTTTTTCCTTCTTAGCTGCCTTATATTAAATCTTGTTTTCAGGAAAGTCTTGTTTTAGATGACTCTTCAGAAATGTCTGTCTACTATGCTTCAAAAAAAGGGCCTGCAACTAGACCTCTGGGTCATTGTATCAGTAGACTGGTAACGTTACACTGAAATTTAACATACAGCCTATAAGCTGTTTGGTCACTTCATGTCATTACTATAATTTAAGGTCTCAGATATTAAAATTAATGACATGTACAAAGAGCTCTTGAAACCATCTCTGAATTTCCCAGATTGACTTCATTGGAATCTTCTGGAAAGCTTTACATTATATTGATATAGAACTTTTACATTTTATTGCTCATTTCTTGCTGTCACTCTGCACTTTAAGGATATATTCTGAGAGGGGGCTGGGCATCTCTTTTTATGCAACTCTCCAGATAAGTTGTAGACTACCTTCAGTGGATCGATCCTCATATCATATCACTGTTTAGAAACCCTGGTAATGTACTTTAAAAGTCAGGGTTGGGTGAATAAAGGTTTGCATATATAAGAAAGCATTGATGCCTTAGAGTTATTAAGAAGAATATATGGTAACATTATCATCATGTGTTTCTAATGGTCTGTGGATCAGATTTGAGAACAGTTGATTGCTTAATAGTTTAGATGTTTCTGAAACCATGGTCAGACAGACATTTATAAAATTCTTATTTTTTGGGCTTGTGTTGCCTGTGATAGCACTTGGCAATATAGTGGGTTCTCAGTTTTATACTTAACATTTAATATTTTAGACAAATTAGGTATTTTGTATAGGGAATCAACTTTGAGTAGGGTCTTTATATTTATTAAATTTCAATAATTAAAAAGTTTATATTTTAACTTATTAAAATATTTTGTTTTATTTTCTTACTAGTTTATCTTGTGACAGTACTATTCATTAGATCTTATGTCTTTAGAGTTTATTACGGATGATATTCACTTGTTAAATTTTTATTCAAGAATCTAATAATGACTGTGAAGATAATCAAATACGGAACAGAGGGTTTTCCAGGAAAAGTGGTAAGGACCATGTTTTAGAACAATTTGTAATTAAGATAGATACTAAACTGACAAAACTGATTTTGGAAGTAAAAAATTCTGATTATGAAACTTTTAAAGAAAAATACTTGGGCATATATTTCCTGCCTTTAATACCTAACTTAATATTCAGTAATTGCCATTTCTTTCTGACGTTTGTGAATTTTTTTCCCCTTATGACCTCAAGAATATGCTATAAATTATAGAAAAGAGATATTGTGAATTTTTACTAGTCACTATTTAGACAAAATGGAGATATGTTTGTAAAATTAGAAATTCTGGGGAAATAAGGAATTCTACACTTTTTTATTCAAGTGTAGCCAGTAGTATTTTACCATATTCTGTTCATTCTAACTATTAATCTGAGGTGAGATGATGTAGAAATTATCATGCATATTTCTCCATTATAGCTGAAAACATGTTAAAATAGCAACAAAATCCACAAAAAACTATAATGAAATTATTATTAAATTTCTATAGAAGTGCAAATCTGTGATAAAATGACCTAATTTTGAAACTGCATGGTAGGTACACTGGTGTTTTTGCTGCAGTTTGGGAACATCCTCCTTTTTTTTTCGTTTTTAGTAACTGATTTTTAATAAGGAGATTTTAAAAGAAGAGACATACTGAGATACTCACACAACTTGGGAGCCATTTAGGCAAGTAAATATTTATACACAAAAAGCACCAAAAATTAAAAATCCTCAAATTTTGAGAGAATGGTGTTCAAGTTTTTGATATGCATTTGTACATGAGAAAACAAGTACGGTGGATCCTTGACTTACTAACTCAGTTCATTCTTGAGGCCTGCTTCTAACTCAGGTTGGTCAGTTGAAGGCTCAGGCTCCTCTAAACAGCCTTCAAAATCTCTATCCTGTATACAGGCAGATCTCAGTGTCCTTAGGGGAGACAGTGGCCTAGGATTTCTCACACAGGCAAGGATGTTGTAAATGGAACATCCCATTAAGTGGTAAGCTGATTAACAGCACACCTTCCTTTAGGAAGCTAGCTAGTACTTCTGTCTGGACTTCAACAGTACCTTGAATCTTACTGTAATTTCACAAAGTAGTAGAGAATGTTTAAGAAAAAAACGGGCTCAGCTTTTAGCTTTTTTTTGTGATGGTTGTGGAGATTGAAACCATGGTCCATGCATGCTAGACATGTGTTCTACCACTAATCTACATCCCCAGCCCTTTTTCTTTTAGATTTTGTTTTAAGACAGGATCTTGGTAACCTGAACTTGAACTTATGATTTTCTGCAGCCTCCTGAGTCCTGAGATTGTAGGGGTGCATCATGCACCTAGCTGCTTTCCTTTTTCTTTTTAACAAGCAGTTTTGGACACAGTATTGAGAAAACATTACCCACATTAAAACATCCCTAATTGTCATCTGGAGAATAGCAGATATCTTCCTATTAAATTTAAATCATTTCATGCTTATATAAATGAGATAGCCAAGATCTATTTGCAGTTCTGTGTGTGTGGTTCTGACTTATAGATAAGTGAAGAGTGGTTAGCAGAGACATAGCCATCCTTACTTCTATTTTTTGTAGAAACATTGGAGAGTAGAAAGTTAGCACACAGTGGTCACTCAGTAAATATGTGTGTATATAAGTTTATATTGCAATATGCCATAACATAGTTGTACATGTCATAAGTATATAACTCAGTGGTTTTCTCACACACTGAACACACCTGACTGCAGTGTGTTCACCAGCATCCAGGTCTAGAAATGGAAATTACCAGCACATCAAAAGCCTCTTGCATGCCTGTTTTCATTAATACCATTCTACTCCTGTAGGTTTACCTCTGTTATGACTTCTTTATGTTTTTGTACTCAGTATAAAGGGAATTATATGTGGTGTTTTAAATTTTTATTAGTACATATTTGTAGTACATTGCAATTATATTCATCATGGGGAGTTGGTACATATAGATGACGTTTCTCAATGCCTTTTTTAAAAACTCCTTCCCCTCTCTCATCCTCCCTTCCTTCTTAGACCCTTTCTTTCATATATATATAT